ACAGAAACTTTGCAGGCCAGAAGGGAGTGGCAAGAAATATTCAAAGTGATGAATACCAAGAACCTACAACCAAGATTACTTTATCCAACAAAGCTATCATTCAGAAGTGAAGGTCAGATAAAGAGCTTCACAGATAAGAAAAAGCTAAAGGAGTTCATCACCATCAAACCAGTATTATATGAAATGCTGAAAGGTATTCTTTAATGAGAGGAAGAAGAAGAAAAAGGTAAAGATAAAAATTATGAACAACAAATACATGTCTATCAACAAGTGAATCCAAAAATCAAGTGAATAAAAAATCTGATGAACAGAGTAAACTGGTGAATATAATAGAATCGGGGGCATAGAAAGGGAGTGGACTAACAATTCTCAGGGGGGAAGGGAGAAGGGGAGGTGAGAGAAGAGCCTAGACAAAAATCGTGCACCTCTGAATGAGGACAGTGGGGGCGGGTAAGGGCAGAGGGTGGTGTGGGAACTGGGTGGAGGGTGGAGGGCCTATGGGGGAGGAAAAAAGAGAAACAACTGTAATAATCTAAACAATAAAGATTTAATTATTAAAAAGAAAAGAAAAGAATTATGTCCCTTGTGCAGATATGGCAGGGAACATTTAAATCTTATCTCTGCACCCGCAAAACATACATGAGTCCCCAGTCCCTCATCTGCACTTCCATAGTTTCCAAATCCCTGGGAATCACAGATTATTATACTTAATTTTTAAAAAAGGTTTTGATTTTTAGAGGGAGAGTGACAAGAGTGGGGGAGGGAGAGATGTGTTGTCTCTCCCTCACTCATAAGGACACCAGTCAGAATGGATTAGGGTCCTACACCTATGACCTCATTTAACCTTAATTACAATATACAGTCACATGGGACCTGGCCAGGTTCGCTCAGTGGTTGAGCATCCACCCATGAACCGAGAGGTCACAGGTTCTCTTCCTGGTCAGGGCACAGGTCCAGGTTGTGGGCTCAATGTCCAGTAGGGGGCCTGTAGGAAGCAGTTAATAGATGATTCTCTCTCATTGATGTTTCATTCTCTCTATCCTTCTCCTTTCCTCAATAAAATAATTTTTAAAAATAAATTTAAAAATACAGGCACCTGGCGGGGGTTGGGGCGGGGGATCAGAGCTTCAACCTATAAAGTTTGGGGACCACACAGCACCAGGTGATTCCATCAAAAGTACCTAAGATTTTAGAAAATTGCCACAGGTGACAGCTGCTCCGGAAGATGAACATTTAACCTCCTTGTTTATACTCAATGCCATTTATGTTTTACCATGATTTCTTCTAACTTCATTGTTTTTTTCTTTCCATCTAGAGGGCAAAGACTTTGTTGATGCCATTGAGTATTTAATGGACCCAAAGGATAAAGAGAAACTGCATTGCCTGCTCAGTAATGAATCCTGGGAGAGATTTGTGACTTCGGCCAATGTGTCCAGGTAACCTCCAGGGGATGCCTGTATTGCACCCCCATCTTCCCTGCAACTAGATTCCTCTGGCAGGCACACTCCTCCAGGCTGGTCCTGAGCTTGGGGTTGAACAAGTTCCTTCTCATCAATCCATGAGGTACATTTCCTTCATATCAGTCCTTGCAGAGAAGGGCCCCAGGTTGAGAAGAGGTGAGGCTTGCAGGGGTTAGGTTATATGACCATCGGCAGGTTACTTAACCACTCTCTGTCTTATTCATCTGTTCAATTTTATTGTGAAAAGAATAAGATCATGCATGTAAACTGTTTAGCCTAATTCAGGCGTGGGCAACCCCTGGCACATGTGCCAAACATGACACGCCAGTAAATTTGCCGGCACGTGAAGCCCTCTCTTATAATCTTCCATTTACAATTGTGAATCTCTGTTCCAGCAGGGCAATAGCAATCCCCTTCCAGTTTCTCTGTGGAGGGCTGTTACTTCCCAGCTCCTACCGAGATAAAAAAAAGTTTCATAATTATACATGCTCCAAGAGAAATGCATTCATAAAAATATGATCCGGTGCATGGCACAATCACAGTTTGAATGCCGATTAGAATCCTTTTCCTCTTTGGTACCTTATCTATTTATTCTAAGGTGCATTTATTATAAATGGCTATCTTTG